ATCATATTTAGGTTCAGTGTGTAGAATTTAGTGAAATCTAGTGGTGAGCTGTCACATAGCTACCACCTAAAACCCAACGTGATAGGCACATGAATATTTTGTTGTCATGGCAGGTCACCATAGTAACCAACAATGTGCCAGCTGTGGGAGGAGAGAGTGGTGAGACCCGCTGTCAGGGGGACATGGAGAAGGCAGACATGGTTGACGGTAAGAAGGCTTTTCTTTATTTTTCTTGATTGACCAGTTTCGGTTAAAATAGTACAATGTGACTAAAGACCTAATGAAAACATCGCAGTCTAGTAAGTCTTTTAAAATATGATAAAAATGTCAAAGTGCAGCGTTGCATAAAAAGTTGTTTGCAGTACTTAACATCACCACTAGGTGTAACACTAGTCCTTTAGTATGGAGTTGTTTCTGTTTGCAGGAATCAAAGAGAGTGTGTGCTGGACGCCGCCTCCAGAGGTCAACCCCAACAAGACGTGTGAATACCAGGCACTGTGCTCACGCTTCAAGGACCTGCTCACGTTACCAGGTGAGTTTAAGCTCCGCCTCTCCACTAAAACCAGAACAATCACTTCCTGTCTTCACCGCCACCGTTCATCGTTCTTTCAGATGGCTACTTCAGCGAAGACGCCAAGTACAACCTGTGCTACTGTGAGTCCTGCCACAAGCTCCGAGGAGACGAGGCGTACTACAAAAGAGGCGAGCCGCCCCGGGACTACGCCCTGCCCTTCGGCTGGTGCCGCTTCGCCCTCAGGTGAGGAGACAGTCTCTCGTTCAGACGTGTGAATTGTTGGGAGAGGAAAACGTTGCGGCTCTCTAGAACTGTGTGTGTGCTCTTTGTGCAGGATTAAGCCCCACTGTGAGGTTTCTAATGCACTGAAGAAGTGGCACATCGCGTACCACGGCACGAGTGTCGGAGCCCTGCGACGCACGCTGGACCACAGCGAACTGCTGCCTGGTAGGAAGACTTCTGATTCCTCTTCTTTCAAGCACACTTCAGCCTCACTGGTGTTTTCTGACTATAAATAATTCCAGAAACTGAAATTACTGTTGCACTCACCTGCATCAAGTGTGTGCCTGAAACTAAAGGTGTGTAATTTACGCGCTGCAGGGACGTCGTCCATCTTCTCGGTGTCTCCGGTGAAGGCGGAGGGGCCAAACGGCTACAGCGAGCCAGAGGAGAACAGCGCCCCAGGCAGGGAGGTTCCCAGAGTGCACCTCTCCCCCACCATGCGCTACTCCGGCTTGGAGATCTTTGCTCCCAAAGTGCAGTGAGTCCACCTGTCTGGAGAAATTGTGTTTTGACATGTTACAGTGAAGCGACAGGACACTTACCCAAACGCTCCTTTTCCAGATTTCAGGACCCCCGCTCTCACCGCAGCCACCAGGCCCAGGTGGGATTCCAGGTGTGCGTGCGTCCAGGCTCCTACAAGGTGGGGCCCCAGACGCTCGGCCACAGCGAGCCCCTGGACCCGCGCTTCAGCAACTCGGAGATCGAGTGGATCACCAAGGAGCAGGGCGGTACGCTCCTCTACGGGCTGCTCGTCCGGATCGAGTGAACGGAGCAACGAGGGAGGCATTAGGGTGGAAGGGAGAGGGCGGCGTCGTCATGGCGCTCCTCGTACTTTTGATAAACTGACAACCAAATCCAACCCCTGCCTTGAGCGAGAGACTCCTCTGGAATCCAGCTGTGGATTGTTGACAATTCAGCATTATTGATTTTTTTCTTTTTTCGTTTATTTTGTTAGTTGTTTGCTCTCGGACTCCTTTAACGGCCGGGGCCTACGGCGGTTTCAAAGAAGAACAGACACTGCCTGCACTTTATGTTTCGGACACTCGTGGGCGATTTTTTTAAAAACGAACTTCTCATCGACACGACACGTTTGTTCATTCACTGCAGTTTTTTTTTTTTTTTTTTCTCCCTTCATTCTCACAAACAGAATTTTTTTTCTTAATTTCTTTCTGCACTTATTTTAACAATCATCACATCTGCTCTGGTCAGTGTTTTACTTTAGGAGGAGCTGTCCCCTGCCAACCTGCACATTAACGGACCGTCGCCTAAAAAGAAGAAACGTGGGGCAAGTACAAAAAAAAAGAAAAGAAGAAGAGACAATGTTTTCACAAAAATATAGAAACCGCAGACACTTGAATCTGACACTGAACCCGAGAGTGTCTTGTGATTGTGACTTCTTTACGGGCGGATTTTAAAACTGGAGGAAGAAAAAAAATGTTTACACATGTACCACTGTATGTTGCTGTCCTCTACGTGTCTCCACGGTAACAGTCGGGCTAACCTATTATTCATGTTTGCGGTTTTTTTTTTTTTAAAAGGACCCAGTGTCATTTCCTAATCAGACGGAAAACTGGAAAGAATTGTGAAAATAGTTTGAGAAGCTAAAAAAATAGATATTGAATGGAAATAATTCTCCAGCCTGACAACTTTTGTGCAACCCGTGATATTTTTTTTTTGTGCTACAAATTTCTTTACGTCTATATATTCGGTGGGTTGCGACACAAGGATTCAAAGGAAGCATTAGACATTTTGGTAAAAAAAAGGAAGATCACACCACTGTCACCTCTGTGCAGTAAATATTAAGCTACTTCCGGAGAAACGCCGGCCCGGACGACTTAGGGAAGCGGCTGTACGTTACATTTTAGTTTCAGTAGGAAACAAGTGGCATCAAAATTCCCAGAATGCCATTTATTTCTTTTCAAAGTTAGTTCAACAGACAGACGCCAGAAGAGTGTTTTTCTCCGCTCCATACCTCCCTTCGATCCGTCATGTCGTACTGTTTACCGCGCGGGACCTTTTCAGAGCCACAACCCAGGAAGCAACAAGATCAGCAGGACGTCTGCACACCGCGACCTGCGCTGGCGTTTACACGTGAATGTTAATTAGGGCTCTGTGGTTCCATTACGTCAAACATCGCACATTTACATTTGTCAGAAATGTTTATACAAGCGTTCTACTTCATCTGAAACCTCCACTTAGAGACTGATTGTATGTGAAACAGCTTTCCAAAGCGTTATTTTGTTTTTCTCATCGTTCTCAGTCCTGTTGCCAATTTGTGCTGCAGAACATGAACCCCTAACGTGTTTTATATTTTTAAAGGCACAGCTTCGACGAGTCAAACTCAAAAAAACAACAAAGAAGCTCGGACACCTTCTCAGAGCTGCTGTGATCCGACTGACAGAAGATCTACGGGGTTTTGCGAAGGAAAAAAAACTTCCAATCAAAAATGTGAAAAATATTATTATTATTATGGGTTGTTTATGGCCCAGTGCTGCTTTGTACAATTTGATTTGTATCATTTTTGTTTTCTGTATGTTGCGTTGTACAGGCTGTTACATAACAAATCATATCTTCCTGATTTATAAATAATGAAAATAAACTGACAGACAGTATGCACAGACTGGTGGTGGAAAGAGTGATTTTTAAGGGGGCGGGGGTTAAGATCAAGAAAAAGACAAAACCTACTGGTGCTCGTGTTTCTGTTTTTTCACATTTTATTTAGAGTAGGAAAAAAACTGTTCGGTCACTGACATGTTATTGCAGCGTTGCACACTGAACTCAATCACACCTTTCCAAAATGCTGTAGACTAATTACTCATTAAGGCCAATAGTGGGTTGGTTTGTGTTTTTCTCTCTTTACAGAAAAGCTGGCTGCTCCGGGAACAAGAACAGACACACATGAAGCGATAAGGAGGAAAAAAAAAAATCAACAGAATCAGCCTGATGATAAACAACGACTAAATAATTCAAAAACGAAACCACACAGTAACAGACAGTGATCTGCTGGATCATCCTGTTGGGTTGCATAGTCGGTTCAGTTTGCTAATCTCTCTGCACCAGCTCTGACTTTTTTATGTTGGACCCTGAGTTTTCTTCCTTTTTTTTGTTTGTCTGCTGAGCTCTTCCTCGTGCTCATAAGAGCCGAAACATTCGGGGAAATGCGGTTCTTTTCTTTTCTGAGAGTTAAACGATAGGATGGATGCCGCTGTCATGTCTGGGTGACCAGTCTGGAGCTGCTGTGAAAAACATGGCGGCCTCCGTAGAGAGAGAAGTATTTAAATATAAAGGAAAACAACAATTTAGATTATTACACACTGGTGAAAACAACACAAAGATTATTTATTTCTGCCAATAGATCCTTTCACCTAAATCGTTCACACTGAACCTTTAATGTCTCTTTTTAACGCTTATCAGAATTTTTACTTCTGGAGCTTGTTAATCGTCCACCTCCCCGTTCTGCTCTTCACACCCAGACATCAGAGCAGTATCGATCTTCTCAGAAAACAACCAAAGTGTGCATCTTGTTCCTGTAAGACCACCGGTGTGAAGATTTAAGGAAACTAATTGAGATCTGGGGCAAACTGAGCAACGAGACACGTTTTGTTTTTTTAAAGTCTCAGGACTGGAAAAAAGGAAGTTAAAGGGGGCAACAGAGGCGTCTGCTACAAAAATGTCACTCAAGCACGTGAACGAGAGGAAACCAGATTGCAGATTTTAAGCAGCATTTTGTGCATGTCGACAGAAACTTGTTAGCTCCGAGAACGGCTCAGAGAAGAGACACAAAACACAAGGACAGACGATGTAAAAGTTTGGTTCAGCTTCATTCAAATATACATCCTAACTTCCACATGCGCGCGCACACACACACACGCACACACACACTCTTTTTCAAATATGCCAGAAACTAACAACAAAAATCCCACAGTTTAAAAAAATAGCGAAAAGTTCTTTGTACACTTACAACAACAACTGGTAACATTTTCCAAAACCCTGAAACACAACATTCGCTCCCGAACACAAGGTTGTCAGCATCAAGCTACAGTGATTGCTTTTATAAAAACCGCATGATCACAGTAGTTCACACAAAATGGCTCCGTTTTCTTTCTTTTTTTTTTTTT